GATAAATGGGTGTGTGAGCACAGATGGCGTCAGATCAAGTGAGTCTCAAAAAAAAAGAAATACAAAAAAAAAACTTGCATACTTAATGCAAATAATTGTTTTCTGACTTATATGAATCATAAAACTTTTATGAATCCGATTTTTTTATTTTGCATGGCTTTTTTCCCCCCACATCTCTTTTTAAGGAACATGGTCAATTTCCGTAATGTGGTCAATGGACATCCTCACGCCAACTGGTGGGACAACCAGAGCAATCAGGTTGCGTTTGGCCGTGGTGATCGGGGTTTCATCATCTTCAACAATGATGACTGGTAAGAATTATTAGGGTTTATCAATGAGTGAAGACTTTAATGTACCCAGGTACTGTATAATGGCAATATCTATCATTAGGATTCTAATGGATTTCTAAACTTTAAAAAAAGAGGGTTTATTAAATCAGTTTTTTTATTATGCCATTAGTTTTGTGTATTCACAGTGGAAACTCGAATCTTATCATCCCCAGTATTGTGTATTTTGTAATCCCCGCAGTGTTTGCTCTATGTTTGTAATTATAAGATATTCCAAGTTGTACTTTAAATCACTGACTGACTCCTGCAACCAGTGTAACACCAATACTCTGATTTAATTATGTCAATGTGCTGATGCTGTATAAACAAAATGTGTGTCTTATCATTCAGGGACCTGGATGTAACTCTGAACACAGGCATGCCTGCTGGAACCTACTGCGATGTCATTTCTGGAGATAAGGAAGGAGACAGGTGTACTGGGAAGCAGATACAAGTTGGAAGTGATGGCCGAGCCCACTTCAATATCAGTAACAGAGAGGAAGACCCTTTGGTTGCTATTCATGCTGAATCCAAACTTTAAACTGTAAACTCAAAATAAAGCCTACTCTAGGATTTAAATTATACTTTTTATGTTTACTGAGTTATGTTTGTTTCATTTTTTTTAATTAGTCTCTATTTTTACATGAAAGTTTATAGAAATTTGGAACTTGACCGAAACATGCAATACCATGCTCAGCCTATTTCAACTATTTCCCTTACAAAAATACAAGTCTGATAGACACCAATCAGATGAGACTTTACATAAACTCAT